CGCGGCGCATAAAGCACATACGCACATGTTCTTCACGAACTAGTCACAGATCTGGATCTACCTTCAATACTTATCCATCTCTGTAAGTACTCGAACCGTACTCCCGTCCGTGTTCGATATCACGAATAATGTCCGACTTCACTGTCCGACATGTTCGACTGTTCTTTTATTTGTTAAGATCCCATTTCACCAACACCGACTCAATCAAAAATTGTTTTGACTCAGTCGACTTCGTATTTCTTCTATTGTAGCCTTTACGGCACATTATGTCTGCTTTTCCCACCATTGCAGACCCTACCCTGTATAGTACACTCATATTCTATATCAGTACCATAACAAACATGGGGATTTTACAAGATGTGTGCGAATCTCTCTAGGTTAATCTATCTAAACGTACGAATGACGGACACTCTCTGGTCTAATTTTAACGAATTTGAAGTTGAAGAGCATGCCGTGCTCTTGACCTAAACTTGAAGATACTGTAGTCTGGAGTTGTTGTTGCTTCTCACTCGTCCCTACAGGAAGTGATATCCAACATAAACAGATTGATTGGGATAACGTCTAGACTTGCCTTCCATATTTGTTAATTACCAAACAAGCACCGCGATTGCATCATGCCAGACTCTACAAAAGTAAGGACGCAAAAGGCCTCAGCTGGGAGTGTCTTCGATCGTTTGTACAAGTCATCCACGGCGGCTTCAAGATCCCGGCTAAAGACTCACCGGGCTGCGGCTAGGGCTCCGATCAAAAAGATTGCAGTGGATGAAGATTGTTCAAAGATATTTAATAGGCTCTACATCTCAGGAACTATAAGCAATACTGGAAAGAGAGTCACACCAAGACATCCTTCAACTCCTTTCAAGAAAACGGTTCGATCTCCTCTGAATCGGACACCTGCAAAGACGCCATCCACGAAGAGTCGAGATTCGTTTGTTTATTCACCGGTATGTTGAATGTATAGAACCAGATTTTTTGCAGACTGCTAAGGTATTGATACTAACTCATTACACACCTGCACTCACTCGACCAGAGGATGAAACCACTGACGAAATTGACCTTTAAGAGTAAATATCACCCGAGTCTTGGTGCATTGGACAGTAAGCTTTTTTTGTGCAAATGCATACAGATGTATAAATTGTTCATCATCATTCACGTTTTACTTGCAGCCCCACCTCTAAAGCTAGGTATGAGCTTCTTTCAATCGTTTTGCCAGTATGAAACAGGTGAAAAAGACTCAAAAGGACTTGCAAAGGTACGATTAGTTATCCACCAAAATGCTAGCGTTCGATTTTTTCTCTCATTCATTCGCTTTGTAAAGGAGATAATTGTGGCATTCTTCAAGAAGGATTCCCCAGCGGGAAAGCAATGGGAACTGCATGATCCGGTAATCTCAGAGATAGGCCGAGACGCTTTCAAGGTTAAAATGAGCGCAACCTATACATCAAGGAACAAACGCAAAGTGGCTAGTGCGCAAGGCGTGGTGCGGTGCCTACCAGAGAAGCGAGAAGTGCGCGTCGAAAATTACATATATGACATCTCAGGGCTCTAACAGGGCGTTCTCTCCCGTTGGCATCATCAAAGCTTCCGGTAAATACCACCCCGCAACAGAAATCTCGCCATTCGCACAGTTAAGTTGATCGATCGGAGCATGGCCAAACCAGTAAACAATCATGCCAGGGCCAAATCGATGAATATAGGTTTCACATTGAGGTAGAACCGTTCTTCCATGCGTTTCCACGTCTCCAAACATTGCCTGAGTCAACCGTATAGTTTCATTGAGCTTTCATGGCGCTGAAAACGCAAATCAGCACACACTATTGAACAAACCTTAGAGTCAATCCAACATACCACTTTCCACTCGCCACTGGTGTCTCTGAAAGCCACCGGTGTCTTCAACAAGACATCAGGTGTTCTCGCAGACCCCTTTTCCCGGAGTTGTGACTCTGTCTCGAATGGAATATCCATAATTTTCAGTGCTCGCTCTAGCGCTACTTCATACTCGACTCCAATGCTGTGCCGAGCTCGGTCGTGATCGGGGCCGTAGAGTGGGTCTGACCTTACTGCTTCTTGAACTTCCAGTGACAATCTTGTTTCCAGCGGTTGATTACTTCTTTGAAATAACATAAGCAATGCTTTGAATCCAGAAGAAGTTGAGGTCAAAAGCGATTTCTTTTCTTACCTGAACATTGCGATGTTCAAATTCTCAGAATGCTGAAACTTTTTCAGTATTAAGTCTTTTGTTAGACATCGAGGCTCACGCATAATCTTGGCCAACTCTTTTCGCCCCATGTAGACAGTCAACTCGTCAACCAGCAGGCGTGCCATTAAGAAAGGAGGGAACGCAGCTGATTTTGCGATTTTTAGAATGGAATCGCCATTGCAATAGTGCTCCAAATGAAAGCTGATATCGCTTTTTACTGTGGTTGTTGCGAGTTTCAAAACTTTAAGATGAGTCGTTCTTATCAGAGATTGGAGCGACTGTTGTTTGTATTTTGTCTCAATCAGTTTACTCTGAATAATTGTCACGACTTGTGAATAACGAATTCATACCTGTAAAGGGAAGTTCAACGCCTTGGAAGTTTCCTTTAACGCCTTGTGAAACAGCTTAACATCGTAGAAAAGTGCAACCATGGGTTTCTTTATCACTTGTTGCCGACACCATTTCCCTGCCTGGTCATACGAGTTTGCGTAGTCATCCATGATATGACAGGGAAAGTGCTGACGGTTTGTGATCCAGTTTTCTGAAGCCAAGTACTACCCGCACAGTCGAAAATCGAACTTCAAAATAATAGACTATTGATGTTGGATTTGTTTCAAGAAAACTACTGTAGACCGTGTGGCCAATTTGCGAAAGCGAAACCGAAACCGACTATAGGAACACACGAGGAGTTAGTGTTTTTCGCGTTTTTCGCGCGCGTTGAAATTGTGGCAAAACAAATGATGTCAGGATGCTTGGAGGCGCCAACTTTATTCCGATGAAATACCCCACTTCGGGAACACGCGAGGAGTTGGTGTTTTTGGCGTGTTTTGCGCGCGTTGAATATTTAGAAGAAATTGAACTATACAGAAATAGTTTTTATGGTCGTTCTAAATTAAATAGAGGCCGAATATTGGAGAGGA